ACAAGCACAATCGGGACAAGCCTACTGACGCGTCAGATCGATAAGCCCCCCCAGTTACAGCTCGTATGAAACTCTTGTTTTTTAAGGTCTACTGAAGGACACAAACAGTAAATTAGAATCTAGTAAGGTTTAATGAACATGCAAACAAAGCCCTCGTTAAACTCACAAAATGTTCTTATTGCGAACTGCAAGCTACAGCACGATAGAGACTTGTACCAGGTTTACCCGCTGAAGTGTGCGCCTGTCTGTATTGTGCTGGTCAACTTTTCAGCAACTTTTGGCGTTTGGGGAAACTCTTTTGCTGTTCTAGAAACCTCAAGAAATATTTGCCTTTTTGAGCAATTTTTGAACAAAATATAACCTATACTTGAAACGCGAGTTAAAAGAGTTTCTCACAAATATATGGGCAAAATTTAAAGATACTCTGAAGTCTAACAGAACAAAACATATTGCTAATTAGACATTTTGCCGTTATGATATTAGATACAGATTATGCGATAGGCCTGAGAAACGTTGTCAAGTGACAGGCTATGAACCTTTTGAACACGTAACCTGTATAGGAGGATATATGAAGCACGAAACAGTCACCGATTTCATAGAAAACTTCAATTTATGCAAATGTAAATGTTTATGAACCTTTTGAACACGTAACCTGTCACTTGACAATGTTTCTCAGGCCTATCGTAATCCGTACCTAATATCATAACGGCAAAATGTCTAATTAACAATTATTCTTTGAAATCGAGGTGAATAGTGGCTGAATATTTACCTCGCCGCTTCGCGGCTCGGTAAATATTCCCGAAAGCCACTATTGAAAAGAATAATTGTTTTAGTATATACACCCGAAGTGATCTCGACAAAATTAAAAAGAAGCCATTTAAAGGCAATTTCTGCTTCTGAGACTTTAGCTAAACGCGAGTTTTCGCCACCTATTTTGTTTTTCACATTATTCACTCGCTTGGAGGTGTATATTGTTGATTGGCCCGAGATAGCGAACTATTAGCCCCTGGTAGTTATGCCATAGCTTAAATAGGGATATGTCAAAGCATAGTATAATTCCTTTTAATATGTTGATATGTTAAAGAAATTATGATATGCTTTGATATATCCCTATTTAAGCTATGGTATAACTACCTGGGGCTGTGCCACCAATACTAACTTAAAATGCCTCTGTATTAAGCAGAACAAATGTCTTCGTAGCATCTTCTATGCAAATGCTAGAGAGAATGCCAATCCCTATTATAAACTATTAGGAATTCTAGAGTTGGAAGCTTTTTATAAATTCAGAATATGCTCTCTTACGTACAAGATTAACATTAAAAGTGGTAGCATTCCAGACATCTTCCTTCATATCCTGACCCCAGCATCTGAAAAACATAATTATAATAGAAGATTTGCTACTAATAATAACTTTTTTAGACCAAGAATATCCACAAACATGGGAAAATCATCTTTTATATTCTCTGCTTCAAAGATATGGGAAACTGTACCCACTTATCTTAAATATATGCCTTACAACAATTTCAAAAGAGAATGAAAACATCGACTTTTACTCAACCAAACCTGATCATTTTACTTTGCTCCTGATCTACTCTTAAGGAAAAATGTAACCTTCAAAAAAACTTCAAGTTTTGTTCAACAAAACCTAATCAGTTTATTTACTTTACTACAGACATACTTTTATTACAGGCTGCTATCTATTTATATGACCATTACGATGTCCAACTAGAAAGGTTTTGCTACTTTGGACATCGTACACCTCTCAAACTTGTCTTTATAGCCAAATGTTACCATTATTCTTCCCTCTTTCTCTTACTTTTCAATATATATTAACTTCTATTAATAATGTGTAATAAATAAAGTTCAAAGTTCAAAATCAGATTGCTTGAAACGCCAAGGTCACGGAGTGTGTATATACTAATTAGCAATATGTTTTGTTCTGATACAATGAATATATGAAGTTCATATATTTTGAACTGCGGTTATAGATACGTATGATGAATGATCCTCGCAGTAGAGAGCGCTATTTATGCAATAGCGAAAATCAGACCTGAAAAAAATCAGGCCTATACGGGACTCGAACCACTGACCTTTGCGATACTAGTGCAGCGCTCTACCAATTGAGCTAACAAGCCAACTCGGAGCAGGCCGTTAAGTTGATTCGTAATAAAGCCATGATGATAAATCAGATACAATGAATATATGAAGTTCATATATTTTGAACTGCGGTTATAGGTACGTATGATGCATGATCCTCGCAGTAGAGAGCGCTATTTATGCAATAGCGAAAATCAGACCTGAAAAAAATCAGGCCTCATCCCGAC